TAACACTATCAAACCAAGTAATCTGTCACCACATTCACTGAAAACCGTTGCTAGAACCGAGATCTCTATACAACGAGAGGATTTGAGTCTCACCAATAGTGAATGTTGTGAAAATTTAGTATGCCGTTTCTAGTAAAACAACATTCATCCGTAAAAAACACCATGCTTGTAAAATCCGAATCTTGTGCTATTTGATGTCGAAACCACTGGCAAAATTCCACACGGGGCTGAAAATCATTGGTATTTAATGCCTGAACTCTTTGTACATGATAGGGATGTAATAATAGTTCCTATTGTACACGCTTCACGGTACTCTTTGGTACACCTACTTCTCGTCCAATGTCGCGAGTACTGCGCCTCGGATCTTCCTGAACGATGTTTATGATGTTTCCTTCATTGTCGAAAACATGTTGCGGCCTTTCCCGTCTACGACCTTCATATGTTAGGTGGACATTCCCAGTGTCCCGTAACTTTTGAATTGCTTTTTGCACTGTTCTACTATTAGGTTGTCGTCTGTTATGGTAACATACCTACCATCAGATTTGCTTGATTGTGTGAGTCACGTTGAACGTCATCCAATTAGAAAAGCACTTCAGGCATGTATCGAGTTCGTAGCATGATGGCTGTGCACATGCACAAGATGCACAGAGTCGGCTTACATTTATGGTTATTTTTCTTAATTAATTTTCTCGAAAACAGAAGCATTTAGACCATCAATTGCTTAATAAAAGTTGCTCATTTTCGTGCCCTCTATCACCCTTTTCAAGGAACGCATTTATTTCAGTACCATCCTGTATAAAACAAATAAATGAAGATTAAATTTACACATCTAAAAGTACAAGACATAAAATAGTATATTATGTTACTAGGAGTAGAAGGCGATCATTATGTGTTGGGTCCAAAAGTTTGTTCGCCGAGGCGTTAGCCGAGGCTGAGCAAATTGGGCAAAACACATAATGAGCCTTCCACTCCGAGTGACATATACTATTTTTTCTTCAAGCGTGAATATAAAAAATTACTAATTTTGAAAATTTATAGCGGATAACGCGATGTTCAATCTCAGCACAAAATAAAATCAGTAGGTAGGTAATACTATTTATTTTATACATTTTATACATTTTATTGATTAATTAAACATGACAGTTTTAACCACTTTATTCATGAATAAAAAAACAAATGTAACAATTATTTTTCTTTAATTTGAATTAAACGAATAAACATCTAAATTACCTACATGTCTATCATCAAACTTTATTTATTAACATGAATATTAAATGTGCAATTTTGTATGGTACAGTTGTTGATATTTAAAGCGCTGCTGGCTGTCTTTTTTTCAAAGTTTACAGTTCTGTCGTTGAATACGTTACTTGTAATAAGCTTCTCAGTTTCAGTGTTAACAATTGTACCATTATTAACAGAAAAGTCTTCGATTAAATTATTTTCAGGATCAATATTTACAGTTTCGCTTGATGTACTTGGTTCATTATACTCTAATGGGTTTAATATTTTCATCGCTATCTGTTTCTTATTGTTTACAGAATCTTCAATGTATCCTTATGCAATGTATCAATGTAACCTTAAAAATGATGCAACATCTTTTGGCACTTTTGAAATTTTATGTATGCCCATTACAACACGATGACAATGGCCATTTTGATATTTAATAAAAAATCTATCAAAAGTTATGTCTTTTGGCCGAAGAGTAGCATATTTTCTGTATAAATTTAAATAAAACTTTCCAATTATGGTAAATGAACGATGTTTTTTAGTTTTTGTATTGGGAATATTTACTAATATTATATTTCCCAAATCTTTTACATCATTAACTTTTACTTGAATGAGTTCATCGCATCTACAAGCTCCTGTGACTCCAAATATTAGTGCAACCTAAAAAATATAGAATTATTAATTTTGTAACAATAAAAAAGTTGGAAAATGCAAGGAAATTCTAAAACATGACGTAATTTTAAGACATCTATATTTATGAGTTTTTACAACATTCTTCCAATGAGCTATCTTTATTTCCGAAAACTGTTTATTATTCTCGTAATGGATACTATAAAATAACTTGAAGTTTACAAATTATAACAAAATTTTGTATTACAAATATAAAAAGGTTAAATATATATCTAAGTATCTATAATTTAAAAAGTACATACCTTGGTTGCTAAATATTTATCATCAGGTGCTTTATTCAGGAATTCGTCAAATTCTTTTTTAGACAAAACTTTCGACTTTTTTGGTTTATAATTTTCACCTTGTCGTTTCAAAAATGTAATTAATTTTGAATATTTCTCAATATTTACATTATGTTTAATTTAGATTTTACCATTGAATATTGCGCCCATAAAGTTGAACTTTTCAGTGTTCTGGATAATCTTGTAAAATATGCTATCATCACATTTTCTGAATAAATATGTGCATTATTTTCTTTTGCCCAATTTATGAATTTATCGTAAGCATTTTCATAAATTTCTCTCGACTTTGTTGGTATAAGTGTTGCCACTGATGTATTTCAATTTCCAGTAATTCTGGTGGTGTGCACTGCATTTCTTCAGGCATTTTAAAAACGACCCAACGCGACATCAAATTTCAACTGACACTTAATGAAACGTCAAAGCTTCTTGAATCTTTAATTCGTTGCTAGGATACTTATCTACACATTGTTACATTTTTTTACTAGTTAAAAAATGAAAAATATTTGTACTAGTTAAACAATAGGCTGCTTCTAAAGGAGGTGTTGCACTATATAATATAAGTATTATTATACGCTTGAAGAAAAAGCAAAGTACTTTTAAGTCATTAAGGCTGCAGTTAAGTTGAGTACCTACATTAGTACGAGGAGTTGGTAAATAAAATGTTGCCAAGAGTTAAATCTAGGGAAAATTATTGTTGGACACCACTGTGCGGGGACAAGAGAGGCACTTGTATTCAAGTTCCGATCTAACGAAACTAAAATGAAGAAGTTTTAGGACATCAAACTTTTAAATTCACAACAGTTGCAATCTTGCACCTATAAATCAATATGCTCTATTAGATTCGGAGACAACAGTGTCAATGTCATTATTAAATAATAATTTTTTTATCAAATACAACGCCAAGGTCTCGAAACGTTTCTGGTCATGTCATTATTAATGTTGCAATTAAACATAATGTAGGTGGAATTGTTGGAGAAGGACATAACATTTAATTTTTAGGTTTGTATTTAACATTAGCCTACTACTATTACACCAAGAGTTTATGCTATCAAGGTTTTGTTGAAATCGGACACAGTCATTAACGCTACGAATCAATCTGTATATTTTCAAGTCATCACTAACAAATGAATAGTAAAGGATCAAGAGATCAATCCACATTCTAGCTGATTTGAACCTCCATATTTGAATAATACACTCATAAAAGTGTCAAAATACTACTTTAACATACATAATATTTTATTATTAATAATTAAAATAGTCCAATTAGGGAAATCGCGTTTGGATCCGACACACTGTATATACCGCCATTTCATCCAATCTTGAGAGGACTAGGCATCTTCCATTCGGAGAGCAACTCCGCGTGCCCTTGGCGTCGCGACCAATGCCGCTGCGGCCACGTCTGCAACCTGTCCACATAAATCTGTCATCGACTGACACTTACACCGCTCACCCCGCCCGACTCCCCAAGATCCGGACGGAGAGCCTCAGATAGATCTCGCACGCTACGATTGTTATTTATACTCGACAGCCACTCTGTTTTCTTCAAGTTGCTTTCATGTCCGGAGCTGCAGATAACCTACTGACAAATTCCCTTTAAATCACTCTCGTAGGCAGATCTGTACCTGGGGAATAAAAGGAAGTAATGGGTATATAATTGCATCTTTCCATTTCTGTGAATAACAAATTTTAAACTGTATACAGGGTAGGAAAGTACCGATGGTCTATCTGAAGTTACGTGAGAGCGATAAAGTAAGCCATAGAAATCCATGCGATAGAGAAGGATGGCTATAATGAAGGTCTCTCATAGTCACCGCCCGTTTCGCCCTTCCACAAATAAGATCCACTTCTAATTTGTGGAAGGGCGAAATGGGCATTGACAATTAGACGCCTTCATTATAGCCATCCTTGTCTATCACATGGATTTCTATGGCTTACTTTATCGCTCTCACGTAACTTCTGATAGACCATCGGTACTTTCCTACACTGTACATATTCTTCTTAAAGCTTTAAGGAACTGGAAGTTGTTGTAGAATTCACACAAATACGAGCCTGTAGTAAAAAAAGAATAGAAAGTAGTAAAATATTTAGTAGCATTGTAGAACGACAAACCCTGGTGAAGAATACTTTAGAACTTTGGTAGCTTTAAGGAATATTAAATGCAATTACAAATTGACATTGAAATCAAATAGGTTCGAAACTGTAGTAAAAAAATAGAAACTTTAGCAAAATGCTTAATAACATTGTGGAATCGGCTGATTGTAAACTATTGGAGGAAAATTTCTTCAAAGGATATAGCTTCAAGGAATGAATTAAAATCTAAACTGAATTTGAAATCGATTTTACAGAGATTGGAAACTGTAGTAAAATAAAGGAAATTTTAGCGAAATGTTTCGTATTCTTCCGACAATAAATAAAATTCAGACCACTATCTCATAGGATCAAAATTTCCCTAGAATACCTAATTTCCGTTTTGATGATAGAAAAAGAGGAAACTATTTAAGACAAGTATTAGAAGCTCGAAAACTAAATAGTAGAATATATTACACGAACGAAACATGGATAAATGAAGGTCATACGGCAACAAAAGTGTTACAATATCCATAGCAAACGGCAGATATTTCTGGAAGAATTTTCGACTGGATTAAAATCACCTTCTGGCACCTAATAATAACGCATATTGGAAGTACATCAGGATTTTCGGAACAGGGTTTACTTGTTTTTTAATCACGACGAACAGGAGACTATCATGAGGATGTGGATAGCAAAGTATTTGAAAAATGGTTTGAATCTGTTTTGCCAGATATGGAACCTGGTGCTGCAATTGTAATGGATAATGCACGACGATTAGGGAAGTTGCCAAGATCAGCATGGAGAAAAGCGGAAATTATAGACTGGTTAAAATCGAAAAAGATCGAATGCAAAACAATACTTAAACCCGAATTACTGAAAATCACGGAGAGAGAAAAAGGTCAATATATTAAGTATGGAGTGGATGAAATGGCTTCAGCTCATGAGATTACAGTACTTCGCTTGCCACCCTACTACTGTGAACTAAATCCCATTGAGTTAATCTGGGTCCAGATAAAAATGGAGTAGCACGAAAGAATACGACATTTAAATTGCAAGATGTAAAATTACGCATGAAGAGATTAATCTGGTTACAGCAGAAACATGGAGGAAATGCATAGTTGATGTATTGGTTGACCAACTGATAATATCCCTTGGAGATGACAGCAGCTCTAGTAATGAAGACGACAGTTCTGGTGATGACAGTGATAGTAATAGAGCTAGTGACCAGTAATGTTACATATGCATAGTGTAGATTATAGTACAACGTATAGTAAGTGTAGTGTATACTGTGTATATATAGTTCAGTATATTATTATTATAAGTGATAAAAGTGTGATTTCCGCAGCGTGCTCATCATCAAGTGTAAGTGGGTGGTAGTGGGCCATCGCCGTCCGAAAGGACCGCACTCTACAATTGTGGAGAGGATGATGAGGTGGTGACTCTATAAGCTTTTTAAGATAAATATTTACTGTGAACTTATTTTTTGCAATTTTCTGTTCTTTGCCACCTTGTTAGCAGTACGCCTATAGAATCTTGTCCCCCTGCACCCACCACCTCCCTTACTAGTCTGCCCATTATTATGGTACATGGGTATAGATTCAGAACTGTAGTAATACAAATTTTAGGAAAATACTTGTACTGTTGTGGAATCGGTTGAACTTTTGGGAGGGTATGTTTAAAGCTTTAAGAATCGAGCATAAATTAAAAATTAAATCGATTTCACATGATTCGATACACAGTATAGAAGACTATTTCCATTCAAAGATGGTAAATTTTGATTTCAAATATGTTCCTTTTTCTTTAAGGAATCGTCAAAAAAAATTGATGTACTTCACCAAGCTTTTAACTTACATTTACGTCCATTTTAATGGGGGGAAAAGTTTTAATATGTCGGAAAATTTGTGAACGTAGTGCGGCAGGCTATCAGGGAGCAGAAAAGTAGTCAGCCTGGGGCTCATTTACTATACATTAAGCCAATATATTGTTCCTCCCGCAAATATATTCCCTGGCAGGGCGATTGTATCTCAGCTATCTCGGATTCTGGCGGAATACAGATCGCCTGCTCTATAGGAAACTGGATTTTTTATGGCCCAGGTAATGTTCAGACGTGGATATTGCCGCAGAATAAACTGAACGGCAGCCGGGGCGGTATTTATTCGGCTCCGAGAAATTTACATCTTTTGGACAGATTGCTAAGCGCGAGGCTGGCCCCGCATGAAAATGCACAATTAAAGTAAATTTTTCTAGAGTTAGAAAGAAATATCAACTGCGTAGCAGTCGCTAATCAAACTGTATTTCTAAACAAAAAAAGATAATTTTTTCTCGAGTTTAGTTCATATTAAACGTTCTGTTGTACATATACAGGGTGTTTTCTGGGCCCAAGTTGCAACTTCAGGTTTCAGACCAAAATGTTTTGGTAAACCAATCATCTAAAGCCACTAGTTTTCCCCCTGAATGATTGCATTATTTGAGAATGCAAACATTAATACAGTCATTGAAGCTTTTTACCTCCGAATTCTTTGAAACTGAATCGATCGACTTGAAATTTGGCAGATAGTTAGAGAAAAGGTCAATGAACATTAGTGACATAACGCCGATTGACGCTTCCACCCCCCCTTCTCGGGGGTGGATTTTTTCTTCAAAAATAACGGAAATCGATAGAGAATCAAATTTTGAGCAAAAAATATTCGAAGAATTTTTTCGAGAAATCAATAGTTTTTTAGTTATTCACGATTGAAAACTTGTAATTTTGAATGAAAAAAAAAACACTTTCAAAGTATTTTTCGCAAATAACTCAAAAACTACGTATTTTATTAAAAAAAGTGTAATGAACAAAAATGTAGCTTATAAATAAACAAAAATCGTTAAAAAGTGATGTACGTCTTATACAAAGCGAAATATGGTTAGTGGAAGCGGACTTGTTTTGGGGAATCGATGTATTCAACATCAGATAACAGAAAAGGGATTAATTTTACGTGTATAACACTCCTGGAGTTTTTTGTAGTACTCAAAAATACCTTCAAAATGAGCACTTATAAAAGTTAATTAGAGCAAAATTGAAGGAATTATCGTCAAAAACAGATGGGTTGCTCATATTTTTTAAGGAAAAATGAGCAGTTGCACCATTTCCATTAGAATAAAATTAATCGTAGACCCTTTACAATTACTTTTGTTTTAGTGTTTTTCATACGATCATGAAGTTAGACCGGTTTAGAATGCGTATTTTTTAATAATGTACGGTAAAAGTTGAAAACGTATTTTTCATTATTCATAAAAATTGTCTTATTTATATAATAACTCTGAAACTATGAAAGATACGTAAAAAGTGATAGACAACAAAAATGTAGCTTTTTTTTCAACAAATATTTTGCTTTTTTATTTCTATAGCATAAAAAATAAAGGAGATATCGCTGCTTGAAGCATCCATGTTAGTAAAAAAACGACCTGTCTCGAGTCATTCCATCCTTTCCCTTTAAAAAACGAAGGATTTAAAAGGTTTTATATGCAAACGATCTTACAGCTCTTGAAATTATCTTTAAAATGCTTTTTTGTAGGATACTATAGCTTCAAAATTAACAGAGTTATGGTAAAAAAACCAATGACATTTTTTATCATTTTTTTAGCACAAGGGTGAAAAGTGTTATGAGGTACAAATTCTTTCATAAGCAAAGAGGGAATTGTTATTTTAAATAATTGCACCGTTAAAGCATTCCAAGCTGTTAAAAAGTAATTTTTTATTTTTTTTTCAATAGGTTGAAAAGGAAAAATTCTTTTATTATCTCTAAGGTAACTTTTATTGTAAATAATTGCTCGATTTAATCATTCCAAATCTTTAAAAAGTAATTTTTTATCATTATTTTTTGCGTATAGGTAGTTTTTAAGGGTTAAATAAAGGGTCGAAAAGATCAAAAATATCATAAAACATGTTCGAGAACATGGAACATTATTTAATCTTTGTGCTTGGACAAGATTTTTATCAATAAAATGCTTAAAACTTAATTTTTTCAATTTTTTTCACTTAGGGGTAGTTTTTACCCCTAAAAAACAATAAGCGTCAATCGGGCTTATGTCACTTTTGAACTTGAGCCTAAGTTGAGCCTTATTCTAAGTTTTCATGCAAATCCAAAGAATTCGGAGGTTACAGCTGATTTTCAGTTTCAATGACTGTACTATATCAGTTATGTGTTTTTCTACTAATTATTCAGTTCATTTTTAAATTTATTTTGTTTGTTACTAACTGTTTAATGAGTACTAGCGTGGTGTAATGCAATACCTACTGATTGGTAAAAAAAGACAGTAAATGATTCCATAAACATTCTTATATTCTACTTTCAGTTTACTTATTCCAACGAAGTAAACAATTGCAGGCAGTCGTGTGTGATCATCAAAGCAGACAGGGACACATTTAGAAAAGTAGAAATGTTTTATGGATTATAAAACTCGTAAATATATCCTTAGGAAAATATATTAAAACAAAATAAATATATAACTTCTGTATCAACCTATTTAGAATATTTGCGCCAACAGATAATGCAAAACAACAAAAAAACCGCATCAAAATTAAACCACGAATGCCACACGAAATAAAAACTGTTATAGGACGAGAAATTCAATTCTGTATTCGTGAGGATGCTGTTCGATCCGTTTCAATCAATAATTTCGCTGCCACGCTTAATCAATGATCATTGTTTATTTCATTGGAATATGTAAAGTGAACGTTGTATAAATATTTCTTTAATCCATAGGTAGCTCATTACGTTTTTTTTTTTAAAAAAAGTAAATATCACAAAAATTTAGAATCCGTGAAAAAACATATTAGACAAAAGTTATTGACAAAAGATGAAGGAAATTCGTAGCTGAAAGTTTGACACTCATTTTTAAGACATCAGTATATTGAAGTTAAAAGTAGTAATTGCCTTCCTTTAAGGTGGATTGTATGTACTATTAAGTGATTCTGAAATGTAAATTAAGAAAGGTAAAAAAAGTACGTATTTATTTACATTAATTTCATCTGAAATATTAACATACAAAGTTTCAAATCACAAGTACCTATTTCTTTCTTTTTAATATAAATATTCAAGAGGAAATAATTAAAATCATCGCATAAGAGGAGTTTGACACGAAAATACCTCTATGATTATGTTGACGTTGGCGGTTATCTTATCCCTGCGTCCGAAGTGATGAGTCTGACGAGTGCGAAGACTTTCGTCCTTGGAATGCCCAGGTAATATGATGAACAAGTCGCGGGCGGCCAGGCATGTCACGTCACTAATCTGACAAACGCGAGACATGACATAGACGACTTTGCCGAATACCGACTCGGGTAGGATAAAAAATAAGAACATACGAGGCGTGTTATTTTCGTTTTTAAAACAACACAGTGTCGGGCAGTGGTGCGCCAGACGTCTGTTGTTTTCAGGAAATTTGAAACTTAATACAAGATAAGAATAGTTGATTCCTATTTTTCCTGTACATCTTACTCTTAAATTTTACAACAATAAAAAATGCGCTGATCATGAATCTGCTACATTGCACACAATTTGAATTTCCTTGAAAATATTTAGCACCAGTCCACCTAACACACAATTAATTGTTATAGGGTGCACCCCGGATATTTCGAGGGTATTGCAACATAGAAAATATTTTCCAGCAGTATAGTTTCCAATTTCACCACCTAAAAGATACAATTAGCACTATCTAATACTTTATTTTAAGGTTAGAACTACAATGAATAAAGTTATTATAATTTAAAAAATAAAGGGAAGTAAATTTAACGTTAGCAGCGAAAGCAGCATATAAAAGTTACTCATAACGATAACAAATAAAATAATTTAGTCACAGATTTCGAAAGCATTTACTTGCATGATATTAAATCCACATCCTAGTAGCTAAATCACTCTGAAGTGAACAATCTTTTAAATACATCCTCTTGTATTTATGATGCTTACACTACGACGTCCAAAGCAAGACTGGCGCTCCGTCGACAGAAAACGATGCGCGACAACTTGCGCAACTGTTTATTTCAGCCCAACTGCCGCTGCTGGTAAATATAAACTGTGCCTAAAACCATGTGCTTAAGCAATTTGTGATTAAATTATAAGACACTTGTCAATGCCCGAGGGTTCTTCCATAATAAAATTCTATTTAAAACTAAAAATATCGCTTTAATAATATTCAATTTCAATTTAAATTTCAATTTCTAACTAAAACAAATATTTCCCGTAATAAAAT